CCCAAGCTTGGGAAACCCAAGGTTCCCCCAGTTTGACTGAGCCAAGCTTGGGAAACCCAAGGTTCCCCAAGCTTGGGAAACCCAAGCTTCCCCAAGCTTGACTGAGCCAAGCTTGGGACGCACTAGGTTCCCCAAGCTTGGGAAACCCAAGCTTCCACCAGCTTGACTGCGCCAAGCTTGGGAAACCTCTGGTTCCCCAAGCTTGGGGAACCCAAGCTTCCGCAAGCTTGACTGGGACATCCTTGGAAACCTCTGGTTCCCAAGCTTGGGAAACCTCTGGTTCCCAAGCTTGAGAAACCCCATATAAGGAATCCAATGTAGAGAAGCCCCACATAGGGAATGCCCATATGGGGAAACCCCTATGGGGATTCCCCGCGTAAGGAACCCTAATATGGGAAATCCCCAGATGGGGATCCCTCATAAGGGGGGTCCTCGTATGGGAATACCCCGTACGGTGCGTCGCATATACGGAATCTTCGTGTGGGAAAACCCCATATAAGGAATCCCTATATGGGGTCTCCTCATGTTGGGGGATCACCATGTTAGGAATCACCATTTCAAGAACCTCCATGTGAGGAATCCCCATGTAGGGAATCGCTTATTTGAGGATTTCCTATATTAGAACTCCGTATATTAAGGCCCCCATACATGGGGTTCCTTGTATGGGGATTCCTTGCATGGGGACTCTCTATATGAAAGGGGTTTCCAACATTGGGATTCCGTACATGGCGATTTCCCGTATGGGTATTCCCCATATGGCGATTCCCTATGTTGGGTTTCCAAATGGGGATTGCCCATACGGGAACTCGCCATGGCAGCCCCCGGAACTCTCACAACTCCCGTAGTCCTGACAGCCGCTGCCCCTTGACTCAAACGCAAAGCGCTGGCGCGGACAGGAACCGTATTCTTTTCAAACGACGGGGGCCAGCGCAGCGCGCCCTTACCCCTTGACTCAATCGCAAATCGCGCGCGCGGACAGGGACCGTTTTTTCTCCAAATGACGGGGGCCAGCGCAGCGCGCCCGTGCCGCTCCACTCAAACGCAAAGCGCGTGCGCGGGCAGGATTCTTTTCCAAATGAACGGGGGCCGCAATGACGCGACTCGACGGCGTGGCGTTGAGCTCGACTGGCAGCCCGCTCCGCGCAGACCCGCTGCCCACGCGCCCTGCCGCCCCCGCGCCCCGAACAAACACCACAGGCCCAAGAGCTTCGTAAGATGTCGCCCTGGACCCCGCGACCGCCGCGCGTGCCTATCGGGGCAGTCGCCGCCAGCGCCGCTACCAACGCAAGGATTCTCGCCCAAGCGGCCCTCGCCCACGGGGCCCTCGCCCACGCTGCAACGAAGAATTGAGCCTGGAGCCAAAATGGCAACGAGCCAAAATGGCGACGAGGGAGGAGGAGGAGAGGAGGAGGAGGGGAAGGAGGCGGAGGAGGAGGAGGGAGAAGCGCGGGTGCGGGACAAGAGAAACCCAAACACGGAGAAACTTGCCTGCAAAACCTCCTCCTGCTCCTGCTGTCGAACAACGGCGGCCGCAACTGCAGCGGCGATGGCGCCCCGCCGGACCAGTGCTGGCACGAAGCGCGCGCCTGTCGCCATCTCCTCGTCCTTCTCCGCCTCCTCGTCCTCCTCCCCCCCCGCCTCCTCCTCAGGGGTCCTGGTGTTTCCTGGTCCCTCCTGGGCTCAGGGGTCCTGGTGTTTCCTGGTCCCTCCTGGTCCCTCCTGGTCCCTCCTGGTCCCTCCTGGTCCCTCCTAGTCCCTCCTGGTCCCTCCTGGTCCCTCCTGGTCTCTCCTGGTTCCTTCTGGTCCCTCCTGGTCCCTCCTGGTCCCTCCTGGTCCCTCCTGGGCTCAGGGGTCCTGGTCCCTCCTGGCCCCTCCTGGCCCCTGACCCACAACCCAGGCACTTATGTTATCATATGTTTTGTGATATGTTTGCGTTGGCACTTCCTCTGTTTTGTACTATTTGTTTTGTTTTTTTTCGGCTCTCTGCCCTGCCGGACAGCTGAGTACCCAGTGTGCGGCTGATGACACAGAGCGGTCGGCGCACGGCTCGCGCAGCTGGCACGGTACGTATAAAGCAAATCGCGCACCATCTTTGTGTGCGACGCATGTCTATGTAGCGAATCTCTCTCTCCACGCACTTCACATGTTCTGGATGACAGCCAGGGCGCCAGATGCGCCCAGACCACGCGCCAAACGCGCGCCAACATGAAAGTAATGTACTCATGGAAGTGCCATTTCTTCTTGATGTGTCTGGGATCCCATGCATTTTTCCTCACGGTAACTTCAGGTCTGGGGCGCCCGCAGCAACTCACTCGTCAGGGACGGGAATGCGATCTCTCGTGCTCTTGTCCTCTCTGTTCCAGAACACGATGGCCTCCCGGTACCCGGCCTTCCTGCTCTTCACCCAATCCTCGCCAATGCCGAGGCCCCTCACGCCGAGCCTCTTGATCTTGGCCTTTATCTTCGGGCCCCACACGGCCAAGCGACTCACCACCTGCACTCCCGCCGGAACCCCACCGCTTGAGCCCCACCGCTTGAGCGTCCGGCCGCGCGGCTTCGGCGCTGCCTTCTTCAAGTGCTTCTTGGCGACTCCGCGCTGGCGGCAGGGACGAGAGGGAGCGCCGGCGCTCGCTGCCATCGCTGAGACAAGCGCCGGCGCCGGTGCCTCTGGCGGCTGCTCCTCGCCCGGGTGGTCATCGGCTGCATCCGTCAGCGCCTGCCGTTCCAAGTCCTGCAGCGCCGCCTGCTCCGCTTCTTGGGCCCCGCCCAGCAGTGCCGGCCCCTCCGCGTCCAGCTCCTCGTCGGAAACGAGCCACGGATCACCCATTCCGCTGGAGGAGGCCGGTGCTCGCGCCTGCGGGGCGACGCGGCGTGGCGGCGGAGCCCGGGTCGGGCGAAAGGGGGGGATAGCAAAGGGGGGGTTTGAGAATCAGCTCACGTAGCTGATTTTCCCGGCGCCTCCCGGCGCCGGAGGCGGCTATGTATCGAGGAATGGGCCCCTCGGTGAGGCCGAAACCAGCTGCATGCAGCAAATTTCGTAACCCCCCCTTTCCCAATCCCACCCTTTCGCCCGGCCCGAGGCTGGCGCTCTGCTGCTCGCCTCCTCGGGGGCCGCCGGGCCCTTGAGCCGCGACGGCGAGAATGATGATGGCAATGCTTATGATGATGGCGATGGTGATGACGGTTCTGGTGTTCATGGCGGCGGTCAGTGCTCTGGCAGTGTCGCAACGAGGAAGTTCGAGTCGTCGTTGCGCGGGCACAACGACGACGTGCTCGAGGGGTCGGCCCCGGGGCCGGTGGCTTGCCTGAGGGCGCTGACCCACAACCCAAGCCTCAGGTCTCTGACCCGCAACACAGGCATCCGAAGTGTCCATGACACACAACCCAGGCAAGGCGGCGAGCCTCAGACGACATGCGTCCGAAGTGTGTCTGACCCACAACACAGGCATCCGAAGTGTGTATGACCCACAGCCCAGGCATCCGAAGTGTGTATGACCCACAGCCCAGGCATCCGATACGTCTCATAACCACAACCCAGGCACTTGTGCATGCATATTTTGTGTTGTTTTTTTTTTTGTTTTGGTGTTGCTTGTTATGTCATTCGGCCATTGGGGCTCCTGGGGGGTGGCGCTTGGGACCACACGAGGATCCGCCACTTACGCCACCCCCAGGATGCCCCAGTCCTCGTCGCGAGATGTTGTTCCCTGACGCACAACCCAGGCATCAAGGGTGTCCCTCACACGCCACCCAGGCACGGTGGCGAGCCCGAGGTCCCTAACGCACAACCCTGGCGTCAGAGAAGTGTCATAACCACAGCCCAAGCACTTGTGTTTTCATATTTCTTGGGCGCTATTTTGTCCTCGTTGTTATGTCATCAGGTCCCTGACGCACAACCCGGGCACCCGAGATGTCTCTGACACACAACCCAAGCACGGCGGCCAGCCTGAGGTCTGTGACGCACAACCCAAGCATCCGATAATGCTCATAACCACAACCCAAGCACTTCTGTTTCCATGTCTTTTTGGATATTTGTTGTTGTCATTTGTTATGTCGTGAAGTCCCTGACGCACAACACAGGCATCCGGTATGTCTCTAACGCGCAACCCAAGCAAGGTGGCGAGCCAGAGGTCCCTAACGCACAACCCTGGCACCCTCGAGACCTCCAAACCACAACCCAGGCACGTGTGTTTATATATATATGTTTTATATATATATATGTTTTGTTCTTTTTTGTTGTCATGTGTTATGTCATTAAGTCCCTGACGAACAACCCAGGCATCCGATATGTCTCTGACCCACAACCCAGGCACGGTGTCGACCCTTCTGGGGCTCCTTGGGGGTGGCGCTTGGCCTGAGGGCGCTGACCCACAACCCAAGTCCCAGGTCTCTGACCCACAACACAGGCATCCGAAGTGTCTAGGAGACACAACCCAGGCAAGGTGGCGATCCTCAGACGACATGCGTCCGAAGTGTGTCTGACCCACAACCCAGGCATCCGAAGTGTGTGCGACCCACAACCCAGGCATCCGACAAGTGTCAGGACCACAACCAGGGCACTTCAGTTTTGATATTGTCTTGTTCTTTTGGTGCTGCCGGACAGCTCCGTACCCAATGCGCGGCGGCACATCGACGACGTGCTCGGGAGGTCGGCCCCAGAGCCGTTGGCTAGCCTGAGGGCTCTGGCACAAAACCGAAACCTGAAGTCTCTGACCCACAACCGACGCATCCGCAGTGTCTGCGACCCACAACCCAGGCACGGCTGTTTTCATATGTTTCTCTTCTCTTTCGTTGTGTTTGTTGTTTCGTTGTGGTGTCATTATTCTGTTTTGTTGTTTCTTCTTTTTTCGGCCGCCTACCCTGCCGGACAGCTCAGTGCCCAATGTGCGGACATTCGGGCGGCGAGCTGCAAGCACTAGCACTACCCCGCAGTGACTGCGGCAGGGATGGCAGGCGGCCACTCGTGCACGCCCTCTGGGTACGCCTCTGGCCCAAGCCACGTGCTAAGCAAAATGATCGCGTACACGAACGCTTTCGGAGCCACCATGCCGCACGTCTCCAGCAGGGCGGGAGGCTGCCACCGTCTGCGGAACAGGTCCGCGCCGCCAGGGGCGCACTGGTTGATGAGCCGGTGCAGGGCGGCGGCGGCGTCCGCCGCTCCTCCCCGGCCGCCCTCCGTCGCCCAGGCCTGGCCGAAGAGAGTCCACTCGAACTCCCTCGTGGTGGACGGTTTCCCCCGGGGCCGTAGGCGACTTAGGAGGCTCCCCAGGGTTGGTTTTAAAGCTCGGGCCCGACAACGGGCCCCTGAGGCCAAACTCGAAGAAAAACCTTCGAGGATAGGAGGTCCACGAAAAACTACACGAAGAAACGGCGAAAAGTCCAGGAGGAGGAGGAGGAGGAGGACGGGGTCGCCGAAGCCCTTCCGAGAAACCGTCCAAACCTCGTGCACAACACGCGTGTCCGTGTCGTTGATTGGGTTCGGCGTGCACAACACGCCGAACCCAATCAACGAGGACATGCGCTGGAGCTGGCTGCGTTCCTGCGGGTCGTCCGACCGCCGCCTCCTCTGCTGCCGGTCCTCCGCGCCCGCCCCTGCTGAGGTCAGGCGCCCAGCCTTGCTCTTGCCGGCCCACTCCGCGTAGACCCGCTTCAGCCGGCACGCCACGGCATTGGAGGGCGTCAGGTTGAACATGTTGGTGGCGAGGGCACCCCACGGCATGCGAGTGTAGTGGATGCCAGCTCCTGCTTGCTCCTCGACCCAAGCGCCAATGCGCGCGCCCATCTCCAGCCTCGTGCTGATCGGCAACGCGGACGACCGCCCTTGCCGCCCAGCTCGTCGCCGAGCCCGAGGCTCGGGCGCAGCCTGCTCCAGACTGCCGCGAAACAGGGCGGCCTGATCGTTAAAGGTTCAACGTTTGGCGCTTGCCACAACGGCGAACCCTTCAAACTGCAATGATTCACCCTCGTGACAACGGCCAATCGTTGAACCTTAAACTTTCGGGCAACCTTGCGTCGAGCACGTCTTCGTCGTCTCCGTCCTCGTCGTCGTCGTCGTCGTCGTCGTCGTCGTCGCCGTCGTCGGCGACTCCAAAGGAGACGACGACGTCGCCCGACGACGACGACGACGGAAACGACGAGGCCGAGGACGAGGACGACGACGACGACGACGGCGCCTGCGCCGCCAGCGCGGCCAAGTAAGCCATGCCAGCGCGGCGCTGCGAAGCGCCTCTGTCGGCGCGGGAGGCGGAGGCGCCGCGGGGCAGCCCCTCGGCGGCCGCCGCCGGAGGCGCCGCGGGGCATCCGCTCGGCGGCCGCCGCCGGAGGCGCCGCGGGGCAGCCGCCGCTGGAGGCGCCGCGGGGCGAGCCGCCGCTGGAGGCGCCGCGGGGCGAGCCGCTTGGCAGCTAAGCCGAAAAAAGGCTACAAATGTACTGGCGTTGACGCAGGCCCCACAACCCAGGCATCCGACGTGTGTATGACCCACAACCCAGGCATCCGAAATGTGTGTGACCCACAACCCAGGCAATGTGGCGACCCTCAGGCCACATGCATCCGCTGTGTGTCTGACCCACAACCCAGGCATCCGAAGTGTGTATGACCCACAGCCCAGGCATCCGAAACGTCTCATAACCACAACTCAGGCACTTGTGTTTCCATATTTTGTGTTGCTCTTTTTTTGTTGTTGCTTGTTATGTCATTCCGCCATTGGGGCTCCTGGGGGGTGGCGCTTGGGACCACACGAGGATCCGCCACTTACGCCACCCCCAGGATGCCCCAGTCCTCGTCGCGGCGCCGACGGGGTGGCGCTCGGGACCACACGAGGATCCGCCACTTACGCCACCCTCGGCGCCGCTTTTGGGGTTCCTTGGGGGTGGCGCTTGGGACCACGCGAGGATCGGCCACTTACGCGCAAACCAGGCGTCCGAGAAGTGTCATAACTCCACATACTCAAGCACTTGATCCGCCACTTTGCATGTTTCCGCCACTTACGCCACCCTCGGCGCCGCGTTCCTTGGGGGTGGCGCTTGGGACCACGCGAGGATCGGCCACTTACGCGCAAACCAGGCGTCCGAGAAGTGTCATAACCACAACTCAAGCACTTGTGTTTGCATATTTTTTGGGCGCTGTTTTGTCGTCATTATGGTCCCTGACGCACAACCCGGGCATCCGAGATGTCTCTGACACACAGCCCAGGCACTTACGGCAAGCCTGAGGTCTGTGACGCACAACCCAGGCATCATAAATGTCCCTAACACGCCACCCAGGGGCGCTGGCGAACCTGAGGTCCCCAACGCACAACCCAGGCGGCCGAGAAATGTCATAACCACAACCCAAGCACTTGTGTTTTCATATTTTTTTGGGCGCTACTTTGTCGTCATTGTTATGTCAGTAGGTCCCTGACACACAACCTGGGCATCCGAAATGTTTCTGACACACAACCCAGGCACGGCGGCAAGCCTGAGGTCCGTGACGCGCAACCCAGGCATCCGAAGTGTGTACGACCCACAGCCCAGGCATCCGATACGTCTCATAACCACAACCCAGGCACTTGTGTTTCCATATGTTGTGGTGTTTTTTTTTTTGTTGCTTGTTATGCCTTTAGGCCATTGGGATTCCTGGGGGGTGGCGCTTGGGACCACACGAGGATCCGCCACTTACGCCACCCCCAGGATGCCCCAGTCCTCGTCGCGAGATGTGGTTCCCCGACGCACAACCCAGGCATCAAGGGTGTCCCTCACACGCCACCCAGGCACGGTGGCGAGCCTGAGGTCCCTAACGCACAACCCAGGCGTCCGAGAAGTGTCATAACCACAACCAAAGCACCTGTGTTTTCCTTTTTTTTTTGGCGCTATTTTGCCATCGTTATTATGTGAGTAGGTCCCTGACGCACAACCTGGGCATCCGAGGTGTCTCTGACACGCGACCCAGGCACGGCGGCAAGCCTCAGGTCCGTGACGCACAACCCAGGCATCCGAAGTGTGTATGACCCACAGCCCAGGCATCCGATACGTCTCATAACCACAACCCAGGCACTTGTGTTTTCATATTTTGTGTTGCTCTTTTTGTTGTTGTTGTTTGTTATGCCTTTAGGCCATTGGGGTTCCTGGGGTGTGGCGCTTGGGGCCACACGAGGATCCACCACTCACGCCACCCCCAGGATGCCCCAGTCCTCGTCGCGAGCTGCAGTTCCCTGACGCACAACCCAGGCATCAAGGGGGCCCCTCACACGCCACCCAGGCACGGTGGCGAGCCTGAGGTCCCTAACGCACAACCCCGGCGTCCGAGAAGTGTCATAACCACAACCAAAGCACTTGTGTTTTCATATTTTTGGGGCGCTATTTTGTCGTCGTTGTTATGTCATTAGGTCCCTGACGCACAACCTGGGCGCCCGAGATGTCTCTGACACACAACCCAGGCACGGCGGCAAGCCTGAGGTCTGCGACGCACAACCCAGGCATCCGAGAATTCTCAGAACCACAACCCAGGCACTTGTGTTTCCATGTCTTTTGTGATATTTGTTGTTTTCATGTGTAATGTCATTAAGTCCCTGAGGCACAACAAAGGCATCCGGTATGTCGGCAACACACAACCCAAGCACGGTGGCGAGCCAGAGGTCCCTAACGCACAACCCTGGCATCCGAGATATCCCAGAACCACAACCCAGGCACTTGTGTTTATATATGTTTTGTTCTTCGTTGTTGTCATGTGTTATGTCATTAAGTCCCTGGCGATCAACCCAGGCATCCGATATGTCTCTGACCCACAACCCAGGCACGGTGTCGACCCTGAGGTCCCTGACGTGCAACCCAGGCATCCGAGATGTCTCTGACCCACAACCGAGGCATGGTGGCGAGCCTGAGATCCCGAACTCGCCGCCCAAGCATCCGAAATGCCTCCGACCCACAACCCAAGCCGGTTTGCGGTCTGATCCCTCCTGGGCTCAGGGGTCCTGGTGCCTCCTGGTCCCTCCTGGTTCCTCCTGGTCTCTCTTGTTCCCTCCTGGTCCCTCCTGGGCTCAGGGGTCCTGGTCCCTCCTGGTCTCTCCTGGTCCCTCCTGGTCCCTCCTAGTCCCTCCTGGTCCCTCCTGGTCCCTCCTGGTCTCTCCTGGTCCCTCCTGGTCCCTCCTGGTCCCGCCTGGTCCCTCCTGGTCCCTCCTGGGCTCAGGGGTCCTGGTCCCTCCTGGTCCCTCCAGGTCCCTCCCGGTCCCTCCTCGCCCCTCCTGGTCCCTCCTAGTTCCTCCTGGCCCCTCCTGGTCCATCCTGGTCTCTCCTGGTCCCTCCTGGTCCGTCCTGGTCCGTCCTGGTCCCTCCTGGTCCCTCCTGGTCTCAGGGGCCCTGGCCCCTCGTGGCCCCTCCTGGTCCCTGATCCACAACCCAGGCAATTATGTTTACATTTTTTTTTGGTTCTGTTGGCGTTGGCACTTCTTCTGTTTTGGAATTCTTTTCTTTTTTTTGTTCGGCCGTCTGCCCTGCCGGACAGCTGAGTGCCCAGTGTGCGGCTGACGACACAGAGCGGTCGGCGCACGGGTCGCGCACCTGGCACGGTACGTATGTAGCAAATCGCGCACAATCAAAGTGTGAGACATATGTCTATGTAGCGAATGTCTCTCCACGCACTTCACATGTTCTGGATGGCAGCAGGCTTGGCGACGAAGACTGCCCCGCGCATCACCGCCTTCACGTTCACGAACGCGGGCACCAGGATCGTCACCGTTGGGGTTTTATCTTTCCCACGCTGCTTGCGCCCATCCTGCTTGAACTCGCAGGAGATCTCTTGCGTCAGGCACCTCGCCTCCAAGTTCCCCACCGTGGTGTCGGCCGCCGTCGCCTCCAAGACCGCCCAGAAGGGCGACACCCCTAGGGCCTTGCCTGGCTTGAACTGGGCGAGGGGGCTCTGGATGATGTATTTCGATAGGTCGTCGCAGATGTCGTAGGCTCCGATTTCTGTCGTTACCAAGTAGGGGTGCTGCGGATGATGCGATTTTGGCCTCCTCATCTTGGCCCCCTCCGAGAAGTCGTGCACAGGTCCGTGCGGAATCAACACCACCTCGCCGACTGCGAAATCTTTCGCGGCCCTCGCCTGAAACACACACGGGTTTGAGGACTCCATGCTGTGGACCGTGATATTGGCAGCGCACCCGCTGTGTTTGACCTGCAGCTGCTGCAGGGCCGTCTGCATCCAGCGTCCAGCTCCTCGTCGGAAACGAGCCACGGATCACCCATTCCGCTGGAGGAGGCCGGTGCTCGCGCCTGCGGGGCGACGCGGCGTGGCGGCGGAGCCCGGGTCGGGCGAAAGGGGGGGATAGCAAAGGGGGGGTTTGAGAATCAGCTCACGTAGCTGATTTTCCCGGCGCCTCCCGGCGCCGGAGGCGGCTATGTATCGAGGAATGGGCCCCTCGGTGAGGCCGAAACCAGCTGCATGCAGCAAATTTCGTAACCCCCCCTTTCCCAATCCCACCCTTTCGCCCGGCCCGAGGCTGGCGCTCTGCTGCTCGCCTCCTCGGGGGCCGCCGGGCCCTTGAGCCGCGACGGCGAGAATGATGATGGCAATGCTTATGATGATGGCGATGGTGATGACGGTTCTGGTGTTCATGGCGGCGGTCAGTGCTCTGGCAGTGTCGCAACGAGGAAGTTCGAGTCGTCGTTGCGCGGGCACAACGACGACGTGCTCGAGGGGTCGGCCCCGGGGCCGGTGGCTTGCCTGAGGGCGCTGACCCACAACCCAAGCCTCAGGTCTCTGACCCGCAACACAGGCATCCGAAGTGTCCATGACACACAACCCAGGCAAGGCGGCGAGCCTCAGACGACATGCGTCCGAAGTGTGTCTGACCCACAACACAGGCATCCGAAGTGCGTATGACCCACAGCCCAGGCATCCGAAGTGTGTATGACCCACAGCCCAGGCATCCGATACGTCTCATAACCACAACCCAGGCACTTGTGCATGCATATTTTGTGTTGTTTTTTTTGTTTTGTTGTTGTTTGTTATGCCTTTAGGCCATTGGGGCTCCTGGGGGGTGGCGCTTGGGACCACACGAGGATCCGCCACTCACGCCACCCCCAGGATGCCCCAGTCCTCGTCGCGAGATGTAGTTCCCTGACGCACAACCCAGGCATCAGAGATGTCCCTAACACGCCACCCAGGCACGGTGGCGAGCCTGAGGTCCCTAACGCACAACCCAGGCGTCCGAGAAGTGTCATAACCACATCCCAAGCACTTGTGTTTTCATATTTTTTGGGCGCTATTTTGTCGTCAGTGTTATGTCATTGGGTCCCTGACGCACAACCCGGGCATCCGAGATGTCTCTGACACACAACCCAAGCACGGCGGCAACCCTGAGGTCCGCGACGCACAACCCAGGCATCCGATAATTCTCATAACCACAACCCAGGCACTTGTGTTTCCATGTGTTTTTGGATATTTGTTGTTGTCATGTGTTATGTCATTAAGTCCCTGACGCACAAAACAGGCATCCGGTATGTCTCTAGCACACAACCCAAGCACGGTGGCGAGCCAGAGGTCCCTAACGCACAACCTTGGCACCCGAGAAGTCTCAGAACCACAACCCAGGCACTTGTGTTTATTTTTTTTGTCATTTGTTATGTCATTAAGTCCCTGACGAACAACCCAGGCATCCGATATGTCTCTGACCCACAACCCAGGCACGGTGTCGACCCTGAGGTCCCTGACGTGCAACCCAGGCATCCGAGATGTCTTTGACCCACAACCGAGGCATGGTGGCGAGCCTGAGATCCCTAACTCGCCACCCAAGCATCCGAAATGCATCCGACCCACAACCCAAGCACGGTGGCGAGCCTGACGCCCCAAACGCGCACCCCAAGCATCCGAGATGTCTCTGGCCCACAACCCAGGCACGCACGGTGGCGAGCCGGATGTCCCTAACGCACAACCCAGACATCCGAGATGTCTCTGACCCACAACCCAGGCGCGGTGGCGAGCCTGTGGTCCCTAACGCACAACCCAGGCATCCGAGAGGTCTCTGTCCGGCAGCCCAGGCACGGTGGCGAGCCCGAGGTCCCTGACGCACAACCCAAGCATCCGAGGTGTCTCTGACCCACAACCCAGGCACGGTGGCGAGCCTGACGACCCTGACACACAACCCAAGCATCCGAGAGGTCTCCGACCCACAACCAAGGCATCTAATGGGACCATGGTCCAAGAGGATCCACGCGTCCGCGGGCAGCCAACCCCCGTCCCCCAGCGCTGTGGGACCACACTTGAATAACGAATGTGGCGGCGGGGCCGCACATGAACAACGAATGCGGCTGGACATGGGTGGAAGAACGGGCCCAAGAGATTTCACGCACAAGAGAAATTACATATGTTAGCGAGCGTGGGCCCAAAGCAGCGTGCTTTTGCAGAGTATGTGTGAATCAACGCACGCTACTTTCTTCCCCGAAGGCCCTGGCCTTCGTCATCGTAGGGAGAAGGGAGAGAACAAGGGATACCGAAGGGGACGACAGGATCGTTCAAAGGTAAACGTTCTGGGGGCAGAAGGAGGAGAGAAGGGAGAGAGAAAGGGGACGGAGGAGACACCGCCGATCATTCAAACGTTAATGCGCTCGCGCACCGCGGAATTCAACCTTGAAGTCGCGCGCCCGGGTCGCCGAAAGTCGACACGACACAGACCTACCGTGAGAGGAGTGTCAACATGGACATGCGGTGGGCGGTGAACCGCACGTGGACCCTGCCACTGGGGCCTTGGGTGGAGCTCCCTATGGGGCCAAGAAACGTGCGAGGGATGTGCCGAAATAGACGCGCGGTGGTAGGGGAGCCGCATGTGGACCCTGCCACTGGAGCCTTGGGTGGAGCTCATTATGAGGCAACCAAACGTGCGAGGGGTGTACCAAAATGGGCACGCAGCGGGCTGGGAAACGCGTGTGGACCCGGCCACGGGGGCCTTGAGTGGAGCTCCATATTAGGCCACGACCCGTGTGAAGGGTGCACCGAAATCAACTATCGGTGGGAGGGAACCGCATGTGGACCTTGCCAGTGGGGCCTTGGGTGGAGCGCCCGATGGGGCCACGAAACGTGTGAGGGGTGTGCAGACATGTACATGCAGTGGGCGGGAAACCGCATGTGGGCCCTACTACCGGGGCTTTCGGCAAAGCTCCCCCTGTAGCCCCGAAACGTGTGAGAGGTGTGCCGATATGGACATGCAGTGGGCGGGAAGCCGCATGTGGACCCTGGCACTGGGGGGCCTTGGGTGGAGCGCCCGATGGGGCCACGAAACGTGTGACGGGTGTGCCGAAGTGGACACGCGGAGGGACATGAACCTCACGCGGACCCTGCCTCTGGGGCCTTCGGTGGAGCTCTCTATGGGGCCACGAAACGTGTGAGAGGTGTGCCGACATAGACATGCGGTGGGCGGGGAACCGCATGTGGACCCTGCCACTGGGGCCTTGGGTGGAGCTCCCTATGAGGCCACGAAACGTGTGAGGGGTGCGCCGACATGTGACTGGTCCGGAGGGCAGAGGCGCGGGTGAGAGGAAGAAGGGGTGAGGAGGAATGAAGGAGGACGCGGGGTGCTGTCTCTTCTGAACGAGGACCCGACACAACAGGATGGTTGGGAACACGATGGCGCTGCGCCCCCGAGGCCACGAGCCCGCCCTTAGAAACGATTGAGAATCCGCGCCCCGAGCCTCCAAGACAGCACGTGCAGGCAGCCAAGGACACCAAGATGGCCCAAGATGCCTCGAAGACGGCCCAAGATGGTCCCAACAGGGCCCAAAAGGGCCACAAGAGGACCTCCGACAGGGTCCGAAGAGGCCCAAGAACTGTGATTTCCGTCGGTTCTGGTGCTTGCCTGTGCGACGCACTCTCGCAGGTTCGGGCTTCCGTCAGCTCAAGACGGCCGAAGAAGCCTCCACGATGGCCCCAAGACGGCCCAAGAGGCCCCCAAGAGGGTCCCAAGACGGCCCCAGAGGACCCCACGATGGCCCAAGAAGCATCCAAGACGGCCTCAAGACGGCCCAAGCGGGCCGCCCGTGGGACCCAAGACGGCCTCAGAAGGCCTTTCGACGGCCCAAGACGGTGCCAAGACGACCCCAAGATGGCCCAGTGGACACCCACATTACGGCCAGGAGGGCCCCAAGACGGCACGAGAGAGCCCCAAGACAACCCAAGAGGGCCCCAAGGGACCCCCAAGACTGCCTCTGCAATGCAGCCAAAACGGGTTCCATGAGAGCTCGTCAAACAGAGAAGACGAAAGGTGTCACATGTGACGGCCTTCCTCCTGCCTCCTCCTCCTCCTCCTCCTCCTCCTCCTCCTCCGCCGCCTCGTCCTGCTCCTCCTCCTCCTCCTCCTCCTCCTCCTCCTCCTCCTCCTCCTCAGCAGCATCAGCATCTGCATCAGCACCAGCATCCGCAGCTGCATCTGCATCATCATCATCATCATCATCATCATCATCATCATCATCATCATCATCATCATCATCATCATCATCATCATCATCATCATCATCATCATCATCACCATCATCAGCAGCAGCAGCAGCAGAATCATCATCGTCATCATCAGCAGCAGCATCACCACCATCATCATCAGCAGCATCACTGAAATAATCCTCAGAATCAGCATCAGCGTCATCATCTTCATCATCACCATCATCATCATCATCATCATCATCATCATCATCATCATCCGCAGCAGCAGCATCGTCGTCGTCATCGTCATCGTCATCGTCATCATCAGCATAAGCATCTGCATAATCGTCAGCGGCAGCAGCAGCATCAGCATCAACATCCTTAGTAGCAGCAGCAACAGTACAAGCATCCCCACGCATGATGCTCCTCATCCGCATCAGGGATCTCTCAAACCTGGATACACGCGACGGCCAAGCTGGAGGCACAGCTGGATATCTCTCGTAGTGGTATAACTAGTGTCCGTAACATTCCCAGTCGTGCTAGTATGAGTGCTTGCATTGTTAGTGACAGTCGATGCCGTATTAATTGTATATGCCGTACGACTAGTATTGGAAGGATTTGTCGTAGAATTATGGTTTTTAGAACTAGTAGTAGTAGTAGTCGTAGTAGTAGTAGTAGTAGTAGTAGTAGTAGTAGTAGTAGTAGTAGTAGTAGTAGTAGTGTAGTAGTAGTAGTAGTAATAGTAGTAGTAGTAGTAGTAGTAGTAGTAGTAGTAGTAGTAGTAGTTAGTTAGTAGTAGTAAGTAGTAGTAGTAGTAGTAGTAGTAGTAGTAGTAGTAGTAGTAGTAGTGTAGTAGTAGTAGTAATAGTAGTAGTGGTAGTAGTAGTAGTAGTAGTATTAAAAGTAATAGTAAAAGTAGTAGTAGAAGTAGCAGTAGTAGTAGTAGCAGCAGCAGCAGTAGTAGTAGTAGCAGTAGTAGCAGTAGTAGTAGTAGTAGTAGTAGTAGTAGTAGTAGTAGTAGCAGTAGTGATAATAATAGCAGCAGCAGTAGTACTAGTAGTAGCAGTAGTAGTAGCAGTAGTAGTAGAAGTAATAGCAATAGTACTAGTACTAGTACTAGTACTACTACTAGTACTACTACTATTACTAGCACTAGTAGCAGTGCTGGTACTAGTACGAGCACCAGTACTAGTAGTCGTAGTAGTAGTGGTAGTAGTAGTAGTAGTAGCAGCAGCAGCAGTCGTCGTCGTCGTCGTCGTCGTCGTCGTGGTCGTAGTCGTGGTAGGAGTTGGAGCAGTAGCAATAGTAATACTAATATTGTAACTGTCCTTTCCAATCATAGTATGCGGATGATTACTATTACCATAGTTTATCCAATGAGCCGCCATAGTCGTAATATTCTGATGGCTCGCAGCATCAGTCGCAGTACGAGTGTTATGAGTAGTACTTATGTTGAACACTCATATGACTAGAATTACGAATATTCTTGTTAACATAAATAGAAGCATTCTTGTTGTGACATTCGCAGTGATTCGCAATTGTATCGGTATGATCCTTGCTTCTTCGAAACAAAAAAGAAAATAAAGAAAGAAAGAAAGAAAGAAAGAGAGAGAGAGAGAGAGACGCGCGCCTGGCGGCATGACTCCGCCCAGCGCGTCGATGCCGCCGCCGTTTCCCCCCTGTCCGACCCCCCCAGCAAGCCGCCTCGTCGTCCCTGCCGGCGAGCTTCCTGCTCACGCGCTGCAGCTGGGACAGGAAGTCCTCCTCGCCCGTTCCCCCCTCGACCTCCTCCTCCTCCTCTTCCTCCTCCTCCTCCTCCTCCTTCGCCTCCTGCTTCTCCTCCTCCTCCTCCCTCGTCCTCCTCCTCCTCCTCCTGCTCCTCCTCCTCCTCGACTCCTTCTCCCTCCACTCTTCCCCCCCCCCTCCCCTCCTTCCTCGCTCCCTCCTCATCCTCCCCCTCGCTCGCTCGCTTCAGACAGACAGGCAGAGCACAGCATACGCAAAGGGGACAGGAAGGGCTAGATGGGGAAACATACCGTAGCCCTTCCCCATTATCCTCCTCCTTTTCCTCATCCTCCTCCTCCCCGTGGCATGGGACAGCCCACATCTGGGCACCCCCCCCCCGACATTGCAGTTCAACTCCGTACGCGTGGCCTGCCCTCCCCTCCTCGTTCGTCGCCCGTCTCGTCCATCCCAGCAGCAGCCAGCAAAGACCAGCAACAGCGAAGCGTGCGCAGCACAGAACGCCCGGCGATCACAAACCCATTCCCGCAGGGACGAGACCCAACGCCGCCGAGACCACGCAGGGACGAGACCTCATTCTGGCACCGCCCCTGGCGCGCTCCGCGCGCCAGGTAGGGAGGTCCAGCGCCGATCCGAGAAATACGCGCGGACCTCTGAATTTTCATGTTTACGCCATTCTTCGTTCCCCTAAAGTCCCCACCCCCACCCCGCGCTTTTGGTTCAGTCCGTCCCCTCCCCGCGCTTTTGGTTCAATCCGTCCCCGCGGCCTGCGCCCGCCGCCGTGACGTTTTTTTTTTACGGGGCGGTGATCGATCGCCCGCGCTGACAAGGACGGGGCGGGGGAGGGGGTACCAAAAGCTGCGGCGCTTTGTTCCCAACCATCCTGTGGTATTGGGTCCTCGCTTTGAAGAGACAGCGCCCCGCATTCTCCTCCCGCCTCCGTCCTCCCGCCTCCTCCCACCTCCCATCCCTGCCCCTGCTCTCCGCATGTCCACCATTTTGGCACACCTCTCACACGGCTCGTGGCCCCACAGGGAGCTCCACCGAAGGCACCAGTGGCAGGGTCCACATGACGGCGCCGCCCCACTTTGACACACCCCTCACACGATTCGTGACCCCAATGGGGAGCTGCACCCAAGGTCCCAGTGGCAGGGTTCGCACGGCAGTGCCGCCCCATTTTGGCGCACCCCTCACACGGGTCGTGGCCCCATAGGGAGCTCCACTGAAGGCCCCAGTGGCAGGGTCCACACGGCGGCGCCGCCCAAACTCGTTCCCAATACGCGTGCCTGAAGCCTTTCCGCAGAGGAGGAGGAGGAGGAGGAGGAGGAGGAGGAGGAGGAGGAGGAGGAGGAGGACGACGACGACGACGACGTCGCCGCTCTGGAAGTCTCCGAAGTCCCCAGAGGTGCCCCCCATGAACCAGGAAGGTCGTTTCCCTTGGCGGCGGATGCCTAAAAATCGCTGCCTCGGACACCGATCCGTCGTCGTGCCGCTACGAGGGCAGCTGAATGGCGCACGCATCTTTTTTTTTCCTGGCCACACCGACCCTGCCACGAATAGGCTCCCGGGCCTGGATCCGAGGAAGGGCAAGAACACGAGTCCTTCATGAACCCAAAGTGGCCCTCATCTCGGCGTCCTCTCTGCGCTTCGTGCTGACAAGACGACGACGACTACGACGACGCCGACGACGACGACGCCGACGACGACGACGCCGACGACGACGACAGCGACGCCGACGACGCCGACGACGACGACGTCGTCGCCGCTCTGGAAACCTCCGGAGTCCCAAGAGGTGCCCCCCCAGGCGTTCCCTCCTGAGCCCACTCGGCGTCTGCACCCGCTCCGCCGCTCGGCCGCAGGAGGCCCAGGAGCGCACAGTCAGATCTCCGCCCTTGAGGGCCCTTGACCCTCGAAGCCCCCCCCCGAGGCCCCGCGGAGCACCCAGACCGGCCAGGAGCCGCGACCCTCGCGGGCGGAGGGCCCAGCCCCAGAGCTCCGACGACCCGATACCTTCGAGGCTCGGGGCGACGGACCTCTCGGCCCTCTCCACGTGAGTTGCTGGCCCTCCGTCCCGAACCGTGTTCTGACACTTCCTCTGTTGGCCTTGACGTGAGGTCCCTCCTTCTGCCTTCCCCCCTCTGTCACTTAAAGCTGTGCGCGGCCCGCTTAGCTTCGACCGGAAGAGGTGCGCTCTCGACCCGCGGATCAAAAAACAAGTCTTTTGACACTTCCCGAGGCTGGCCTCGGGAGGCCGAAGGTGCAGGAAATGCTCAGACTCGACGTTCTCGACTCCCTGGAGGTCTGGACCTTCCCTCGCTCTTGGGTCCTTCACTCGGGTCTCCCGCGGCCGGCCGGGACGACTCGGGCGGCCCCAGAACGCCCCCGGCGAGGCGCAGCTGCTGGAACGCATCCCGAGGCAGGCGGACCTCGGGGAACCGACCGAAACACCCGGCAGCACTCCGCCGGTCCCAGAGTCCGAGACGGAGGCGAGGGCGGACCCTCGAAAGTTCCTGTTGGCGCTGCCCTTTTTCTCCTTCGACTCTGCCGACAAGCTCCTCGGGACCCGCTCGTCGCCCCGAGCCGCCTCCCGAGGCTGAAAAAGTTGGAAAGACAACAACCACAACAACAACAACAACAACAACAACAACAACAACAACAACAACAACAACAACAACCACAACCACAACCACAACCACAACAACAACCACAACCACAACCACAACCACAACCACAACCACAACCACAACCACAACCACAACCACAACCACAACCACAACCACAACCACAACCACAACAACAACAACAACAACAACAACAACAACAACAACAACAACAACAACAACCACAACAACAAAAACAACAACGAAACAAAACAAACAAACAAACAAACAAAAACTCCGACTCGATTTTGTTCGAGTAACTCGACGTCTCGGAACAAAGGTGCCGATACCGCTACTCCCTGGAACTCGCTGGGAGCGCGTTCTGACCGGAGTTTCGGGGAGAATCCAGCGGTGGCGACGAGGGCCTCCCAAAAGGCGCCAAACGGCTAAAACGAGGCAAGGGTAGGGGCGTCGGTACCTCGTCTCCTCTGGGAACAAGGCGCCCAAGAACCGGCCAAAGAGCCTCGAACCTGACCGGGCGGGAGCTTTTTTCTTGCGTTGAGCGGACACTATGTGCAATGCTTGTTACGTCCTGGCAGACAAAAAGAATGAGGCAGACTTAGGCTGAGTGCGAGACGAACCAGGCAGGGCGAGCGCAGCAGGACCAGGAAAGGCGCCGTAGACAAGTAAAAGACGTAGGCGCGAATGGGCACAGAGTGTGCGCTCGCTCTGCAGCAGAAGGGGAGCGCGAGCGAACAATGTCGGTCCGGCGGGACGGGCCCTGTGAGGGCGGCGCGGGGAGGTCGGAGCTCTCAGGACACGACGAGGCAGGGGGATTGCTGTACGCTTCAACCTACGCTCTTTGAGAGGCCGATGCGATGCGTCTAAGAATACGTGTTTGCATTGAGAAAACGCTGAAGCGAGTTGCATACGACGCATATTGCGATCAAACGCCACCAATGACTGTGCTCCGTTGACTTAGGTGCAGTACAATAGGAGAGGTAGGACGAAAAGGGCGGGAGCTCCTCCGGCTCCTCCTCGAGCGGCTCGGGCTCCGCGCGCTGCAGCGCGCGGTTCAGCGCCAGCCGCCGCGCCCCGCGCCGCAGGAAGTAGCCGAAACGCGCGGCCGAGAGGGCTCCCGGACCGCCCCTCGCCACGAGGCAGATCGGGACACCAGTGCTCTGGAGAGAGTCGGAGGTCTTCGGGTGAGGAGGGAGCTTTTTGTCGGAGGTGTTCCTCAGTTCTTGAAGGCCTCCTCCCGTCGGGACGCTTTCCTGCAGAGCTGGGTCCCGCCGAGAGCGTTGCTGTGGGTGCCTGGATCGTCCTGGGCGGCCGCTGAAGGCCCGAGTAGTAGCCCAGTGATCTGATCTCTGAAGGCTCGAGAGTGTCGACTCTGAGGCTTCTCTCCGTTTTCGGGATCTGGAGGGAGGCCGCCTCCTCCTTCTCCTCCTTTTTTGACGTTGAGCACACTCGAATGCTCAGATTGTAGCGTGCTTACCTCCTCCTCCTCCTCCTCCTCCTCCTCCTCCTCCTCCTCCTCTTCCTCCTCCTCGTCTTCTTATTATTATTGTTATTATTATTACTATAAATATTATCACTAATAATACTAACATTAACATTAGTAGTTTTAATAATATTAATATTAGTAGTAGTAGTATTAAAATACATAGTATTAGTAATAGTATTAGTAGTATTAGTGTTGCTATCATTATTATTGTTATTATTATTGTTAATATTAGTAGTAGTAGTAGTAGTAGTAGTAATAGTAGTAGTAGTAGTAGTAGTAGTAGTAGTAGTAGTAGTAGTAGTAGTAGTAGTAGTAGTAGTAGTAGTAGTAGTAGTAGTAGTAGTAGTAGTAGTAGTAGTAGTAGTAGTAGTACTATTATTATTCCTCCTCCTCCTCCTCCTCCTCCTCCTCCTCCTCCTCCTACTCATCATCATCCTCCTCCTCCTTCTCCTCCCCTCCCTACCTATGGTAGTGGTGGTGGGAAATCGGCCATTCATCTGAAAGCTCAAAAATGTCGACTCCGAGGTTTCACTCTGCTCTGGGGATCCGAAGGCCAGCTCCGGTGCCCGGGGCGTGTCAAAAAAAAAAACTCGGGACGATAAACGGATCCCAAAGAGAGGGTCAAGACCGGGGCCCCGAGGCTCGGAAGCATATAGGACGAAAGACTCGAGTCTGGGCGACTCGAGCTTGCCCGACGGAGATCCCAAGAACGACAGGGCCTGGTCTGAAACGTGACGCAAACTCACGCTGAAAAGGTCTCACGAAAGCTGTACCACCAGAACTCGCGCTGGGACCGTCGAAACGCACGGTGAGCCCTGGGTCTAGCAAGGTCGAGTCTTACCCCCCCACACCCCTCGCCACGAACAGATCGGGACGGCAGCTTTGCTCCTGAACCTTGAACACAGACGGCACGTTCTCTTGAGTCTTGAGGGGGGGACGGCTGCACTTTTTCGAGGGCGTCCAAGAGGGGGGGGTCCAAAGGGGAGGGGGCGGGGGGGGGCGCAAGTCATGGCCAGCGGCACGTGCGCAGCCCAGGGGGGCCAGGGACGCACTGAAATAAGAGGAGGCCCCTCCTCCTCCCTCCTCCTCCTTCTCCTCCTCCTCCTCCTCCTCCTCCTCCACCTCCTTCTCCTCCTCCTCCTCCTCCTTCCTCCTCCTCCACTTCCTCATTCTCCTCCTTTTCCTCCTCCTTCTCCTCCTCCTCTTCCTCCTCTTCCTCCTCCTCCACCTCCTCCTCCCTCCACCGCCCGCCCCATGTCCCGAGCTTGTGGCAGGGTCATCAGAACGCCGTTGTCGTTTTGTCGTCGTGGTCGTCGTCGTGGTCGCCCTCGTCGTCGTCCTTCTGGGTCGGCGGCACAGGCCGTCAGGCCTTCACAATAAGAGGAGGCGCCATGAAATCTGGGGAGATATCATGGCCCCCGCCACGATATCCACACCCCGCCAGTCCTCACCCCCCTCTTGGCCGCCCCCGACTTCGGATCATAACTCGGGCCTCCGGCGGCCGTTCGGGACGATCTGGGCACCCCCAGAACGCCCGTTGCGAGGCGCAGCCGCTGCAAAGCACCCCGAGGCTGGGAAGCGGCCGAGAACCAGGGAAAGCGCCCGAAAACCTTCGGGAGCGGCCAAGAGGGGGGTGTCCAAGAGGGGGGGGTGCAAATCATGACCGGCGGCATGTGCGCGGCCCAGCGGGGGGGCCTGGGACGTAATAAAATGAGAAGAGGCGCCATGAAATCTGAGGAAAAATCATGGCCCGCGCCATGAAATCCACCCCCCCCTAGTCATCACCCCCCTCTTTTCCGCTCCCGAAACCTCGAGCCTCGAAACGTCGCCTCCCTCTTTGCTGCCCCCGACCTCTCCTCGCCGCTCTCGGGGTGCCCGAGGCCCGCCACGGGCCTGGGGAGCAGCGCACCACGGCCCCGGGGACGGAGAGCTGGCCTCGGGGCAGGCCCTCGGGCGCCAACTAGAGAGCGCTGCCCTCGGTGCCCCTCCCCCTCGCCGCGAGCGTCGTCGTCGTCGTCGGCGTCGGCGTCGTCGTCGTCGTCGTCGTCGTCGTCGTCGTCGTCGTCGTCGTCGTCGTCGTCGTCGTCGTCGTCGTCGTCGTCGTCGTCGTCGTCGTCGTCGCCATTCAGGGTCGGCGGCACCGGCCACAAGGCCTTCGCAACAGAAAGCGCTTCCCTCGGTGCCCCTCCCCCCTCTCCGCGAGCAGGATCGGGACGGAAGTGGAAGGCTTAGGTCGGGCATGTCCTCCTACAGGCGGATCTTGGACGAAAAATCAGACAATTGCCAAAGAAATACTCAACGATAGTCGTCAGAAATAGGCCGAAAAGCGTCCCCTGACTATTTGTTTAAATTATTTTTGAACAATCCTCCTGTAGAGGGACACGCCCGACTTCACACTTGTCCTCCGCTCCGGCCCGCGGGGGCCATGGACGGTGCGCAGTGCAGGCAAAACGATAGCACTGGGCGAACGCGACCCCCCGAATCCCTCAGGGAAAAGAAGGGCGAGAATTCACCCTCAAAAGATCCCTCCAACTCGGAGGCAGTCTGCTCGAAGACCACGACGTTGGCGCGAGGGAGGCGCCAGGGGGGCGCCCCCGGGCCCGGGGGGGCCTCGGAGGCAGGCCTGGGGCAGGGCCTCCGGGGCCCCGCGCGGAGGAGATCGCATCGATCGGGTGGCAGGGCTGGGCCCGCTGGGGCGGCTGGCGGGGGGGGGGGGGCTGGCAGACGCGGCGAGTGAGGATCGGACTCACGACCTTTAGGATCATGAGACCTGCGCGCTGCCAGCTGCGCATATCGCCGCCTGGGCAGCTCCGGCGCTGCGCGGGGGACCCCCGGGGTGGCCTTTCTTTTCCCTACCAGCACAGGCCAGAACATGCTCTGCCCAACTTTGTGTGGATGGCTGTCTTGCTGCATCAGCCTCTCTTGCAGCAGGGAGGCGATCACACAACGACTCCGGGCGCACCACGACTCCAGGTGCCCCTGGTCCCCCTCCTCGCAATCGCATCGTCGGGTGTCAGGGCTTGAGCCCCCGAGGTGGCCTTCCCGGGTGCCCCCCCTACACGCGCGGGGGGCGTGCCAAAATTGGGCGGCGGGGACGCATGCGAACACCGCCATTGGGGCCACAGGTGGAACTGCCGATGGGGCCACGAAACGCGTGAGGGGTGCGCCGACACGGGCGGCGGGGGCACGTGTGGACAAAGCCGCTGGGGCCCTCGGTGGAGCTCCCCGTGGGGCCCCAGCGAGAAACTCTGCATGGGCGAGGGCCCCCCGGAGAGCCGAGGCACGGCAGAGATCCTCCGCCTCGCTTTGCTCGGCGCGCTGGAGATCCTCCGGCGAGGTGGGGGAGAGGGAAGCAACAGAGGTACCGATGCCGCAACTCCACAGACCTCTCCCGGAGTCCGTTCTGTCTAAGATTTCGATCACGAACCCAGCCGTGGAAGGTTTCTTCTGGAAGGTTTCTTCTGGACTGGCCTCCACCGTAGATCATGTCCGATGATTACCAGGACGCGTGTTAGCTCAACGTTCGGCGGGCCCAAGGCCGGGACGCGGACGAGGGGGGATAAGGGGGGGTGCACGGAGGTACGGACGACGGGTACGGGGGGGGCAGGGAACGTCCTGAGACCCCAGGACGCCCGCTGATTCCTGGTGTGGGAAGGTCACGCTGTCCACAGCAAAGCCCCATCCAACCCGAGCAGCCCAGGGCACCCTGGAGGCAAGCAGGGCGGCTCCTGGCAGGGGCCCCCGGCTGCACCTCCGAGCGTCTGGGTCACGACGCCTGGGGGAGCCCGAGAGGGGGGCCGGTGGGGCGGGGGGGGGGTCCTGCCGCGCCAGGGCACGAGGCCCCGGCTCGGACGGGGGAACGCCCTCGAGAAGAGGAGGTGGCCATCTAAAGGGGCCCCAGGACACACAAATAAATACACACAAACAAAAGGATTCCCCACATTTTCCCACAGTTTCTTCGTTTTTGTCTTCCCCCCCACTTCCCATATTTTCCCATATTTTCTGGGGAATCGATGATTAACTATGTCTGTGTGTTTTTCTCCCTCCTGAGCCATGACCAGCGACCATTCAGGGCACACACGACTGCGCAGAGGTCCTGGGCCCACGGCCGGCCTGGCCAGGCTGGGCGCGGGCGTGCAACCTGCACCCGTACAGGAAGGATGCGCGGTGGGTCCTCCTCCTCCTCCTCCTCCTCCTCCTCCTCCTCCTCCTCCTCCTCCTCCTCCTCCTCCTCCTCCTCCTCCCCCTCCTCCTCCTCCTCCTCCACCTCCTCCTCCCCCTGCCAGGAGATCCACACGCCCAATCCTCAACCTCCGCGGCGAGCGCGAGGGGGGGAAGTGAGAAGGAGGAGAGGCCTTCTCAGGAGGAGCCCTCGCGCCCTCTGAGAGGATTTCCGTGTCTTCGGGGAAGGTTTCGAGAACTTCTCAGAAGGGCGGGGGGCTTCCGAGCCTTCTGAGAAGGCCCGCCCCTTCTCACTTCACCCCCTGGCTCGCCGCCGACAACACCCTGTTGCCGGAGGAGGGCCAGTAAAGACGACGACTTCCCTCCTCACAAGTTACGAGGGGGATCCACGTGACAACGAAAAGCCTCCAAGAGGCTCAAAGAGGCCGAAAAACATCGGGGAGTGCCGCCGTTGTCTCGAGTGGCCCTCCTCCGATCTTGGACGCCCCCGAACGATCTGGCACCCCCCTTCCCAACCCTCCACAGCGGCCAACACCGCCTGCCTCCTGGAGCCTTGTTCTGTAACCATCTCGACTTGCTTTTGGGGCCACCCACCCGACAAAAATCATTCCAGCACCCCCCTCCTAGACCCTCCACCACGGCCGACACCGCCTGACTCCTGGAGCCTTGATCTGTAGCCATACTGCCTCGATTTCAGCGCCCCTACAACGGGGACTCCACTAACGGGTACTTTGGCCAGTGGCCCGGCGAACCCAACCCTCCCCGATATGGGCAACGCTGCAATGCCAGAAAGAGGCCCAAAAGCGGCAACTTTCAGCACATCCCCAAAGTACCCGTCAGTGAGTACCCGTTACGGTGCCGCTGACGATTTTAGGGCCCACCCAGATGGCGTCGCGGCGCCGGAGGGGTCCGGGGACGTAGTTCTGCCGCGCCAGCAGGGTGCTGCCCCGCAGGGCCTGCTGCAGCTCGGCCGGCTCGGCCTCCACCTTCTCCCGCGCCTCCTGGCCAGTCTCGACTACATTTAGGTCGGGCACGTCCCCCTACAAGCGGGTTTTGGAAGAAAAAGAAATAATTGCCAGCAAAATACTCAAAAATAGTCCGTAGTAGTAGTAGTAGTAGTAGTAGTAGTAGTAGTAGTAGTAGTAGTAGTAGTAGTAGTAGTAGTAGTAGTAGTAGTAGTAGTAGTAGTAGTAGTAGTAGTAGTAGTAGTAGTAGTAGTAGTAGTAGTAGTAGTAGTAGTAGTAGTAGTAGTAGTAGTAGTAGTAGTAGTAGTAGTAGTAGTAGTAGTAGTAGTAGTAGTCGTAGTAGTAGTAGTAGTAGTAGTAGTAGTAGTAGTAGTAGTAGTAGTAGTAGTAGTAGTAGTAGTAGTAGTAGTAGTAGTAGTAAGTAGTAGTAGTCGTAGTAGTAGTAGTAGTAGTAGTAGTAGTAGTAGTAGTAGTAGTAGTAGTAGTAGTAGTAGTAGTAGTAGTAGTAGTAGTAGTAGTAGTAGTAGTAGTAGTAGTAGTAGTAGTAGTAGTAGTAGCAGCAGCAGCAGCAGCAGCAGTAGCAGTAGTAGTAGTAGTAGTAGTAGTAGTAGTAGTAGTAGTAGTAGAAAAGTCGTCCCGACGGGTTCTTGACTATTTCTGTACATTCCTCCTGTAGAGGGACATTCCCGACTTAAGACTGCACGCAAGAGCGACTCTGGGCAAGAGCGACCTTCGGTGCGCGCCTTTAGGGGGTCGCGGGCAGGCCAACTCCAAGCGCGCAGGCCAGTGTTGGGGGGGGAGCCTTGTGAGCCCGCAGCAAACGTCGCTCCGGCGAAGGGTCACCCTCACGTGCAGTCTTAGGTCGGGCATGTCCTCCTACAAGCGAATCTTGGGCGAGAAAAAATTATGCTACCGAGGAACCCTACATTATATTATGGCTGGAGTGATGAGAGCTGAAGTGAAGCATGTTAGAATGATGTTGGTGGCCGTTGCCCCGCCGATACCGTTGCTGACGCCAATCAAAAGGATAATTGCGAGGCCGACACGGATAGCGACCGCACCCCCAGCGCACCCCCTGTGGCGTCGAGGAAGTGCCACGCCTGCCACGCTTTGCGAGGCCGAAACGGATAGCGACCACACCCCCAGCGCACCCCATGTGGCATCGAAGAAGTGCCACGCCTGCCACACGTTGCGAGCCCGAAACGCATAGCGACCGCACCCCCAGCGCACCCCCTGCGGCGTCGAGAAAGTGCCACGCCTGCCACGCTCTGCAAGGCCGAAACGGATAGCGACCGTACCCCAGCGCACCCCCTGTGGCGTCGAGAAAATGCCACGCCTGCCACGCTTTGCGAAGCCGAAACGGATAGCGACCGCACCACGCTTTGCGAGGCCGACACGGATAGCGACCGCACCCCCAACGCTCCCCCTGTGGCGTCGAGGAAGTGCCGCGCCTGCCACGCTGTGTGAGGCCGAAACTGATAGCGACCCCACCCCCTGCGCACTCCCTCTGGTGTAGAGAAAGTGCCACGCTTGCTGGGCCCTGCGACATTGGCGCGTATAGAGACCGCGCTGAGTGACCACCCCCTGCGCACCCCCTCTGGTGTAGAGAAAGTGCCGCCACGCCTGCTAGGCCCTGCGACAAAGGGGGAAGGGGTGTGGGGGGGGGGGGGGGCAGAAGGCGGGGCCTCACGTCAAGGCCAAGAGGGGGCAAAGCCCAAAGAGGCCCCGAAAACAGGCCTTGCTGGAAATGGCCTCCAACCGCAGGGCGGGATTCTCCCCGCGGGCGCCCCCCCGCGGCCAAACTGCGAGAAGCTTCCTCGAGACCTTCCTGTGGGTGTCTCAAGGGGAGTTTCTCGACATGGCCTCCGCGCGCAGGGCTGGATTTTCCCCGCGGGCGCCCACCCGCGGCCGAATTTCGAGAAACTCCCTTGGGACCACCTTTGGGGTGGTCCAGGGGAGTTCCTCGAAGCTGGAAGGGCTTCGAAAGAGCCCCGTGCCTTCATCGATCGGCCACTTGGCCACGCCAGCGCCCGTTGCGGCGAGGTCGCCCAGCCTCTCGGCTCTGCACCTACCGTCATCGATTGCCGCCAGTGCCCTCGATGGAGGCCACATCTGTCACGCAGCTTCGCCTCTATCAGGGAATGGCTAGAGCAGTGCGCGAGCACCTGCACGAGTGTGACCGAAAAACTGGCGCCCGAGATTGTCCGAAAGGCTTGATTCGAAAGCGACATCTTTTCCGCTTTAGGTTACGGAATTTGGTCACATTACACGTCCGGTCGCGTGTTCGATCGCATATGTTTTTCGGTCACACACCTTTTCCGTTGATCAGGGGCCGGGCGCTATGAGACATGCGCTGAGCCGCAGTCGTTCGAGGTTCAGCGATCCACGCGGAGTCAGAAACCGACGCCCGCGCCATTCGACAGCGCAGATCCAAGAAACCTGCGCAGACCCTCGAAAATTTATGTTCGTGCTGGTTCTGTTCGGCAGCAGCTCCCCCAGCGTTAAGCCGAGAATATTTATGTCGGCTAACCGTGTTGCCAGAGTGTCCCGCGACGAGGATCGTTCGGCCGTTCGCGCCAGGGCGCCCCGCAAAATAATGCACCTGCGGGCGCAAACGCCGATAATTCTGTCGGGCCCCTTCGGCGCGCCGCAGGCACATCCAAAGTGCCGTCGGCGCGCGCGAGTTGCGCGGTGCAGAGTCTGTTCGGCTGCCGATCCAGCGTTGGGTCGGGCATGTCCCCCTATAGACCGATGCTCGACGAAAAATAAGATTAAGAAAATAAGCAAGATTCTAGCATGCTCCACAAAGACTCGAAACGTCGCCCCCAGATGTGTTCTACTACTTTGGAAGCTTCCTCCTGTAGAGGGACAGGCCCGACTTAACTCCACCGCCTGAGCCCGCGCGGCCGCCGAGCAGGCCCGCGAGCGCGTCCGTGCGGCAGGCGAGCGGGCCCGAGGAGGAGGAGGAGGAGGAGGAGGAGGAGGAGGAGGAGGAGGAGGAGGGGGAGGAGGAGGGGAGGGGGAGGAGGAGGAGGAGGAGGAGGAGGAGGAGGAGGAGGAGGAGGAGGGGAGGAGGAGGAATGAGGAGGAGGAGGGGAGGGGGGGGGAGGAGAGGGGAGGAGGGAGGAGGAGGAGGAGAGGGGGAGGGAGGGGAGGAGGAAGGAGGAGGAGGAGGAGGAGGAGGACGCCCACCGCGCAGCGGAGCACCTGGGCCCGCGCGGCGGCCGAGCGGGCTCGGACGCCGCAGGGGCTCTCGAGGCGTCCGAGGGCAAGCCCGGGGCAGCAGAGGGCCGCGCGCACCGCTCCGGCCCCGAGCCTCCGACGTCGCGCGCCGGCTCTTGACGAGCGAAGATGAAGGGCCCTGGGACACACAAATAAATACACACAAATAAAAGGAACCCCCCTATTTTCATATATTTTATGGGCTTGTCTTCCCCCCCCACTTCCCATATCTTCCCATATTTTCCTGGGAATCGACGATTAATTGTGTCTGTGTGTGTTTTTTCCCCTCCTGAGAAGAACGGTACAACATGTTTTTTCGCCGTCGGGGGCGCCTGCCCCTGCGCGGCTGGAAAGTTTATACCCCGTCGGACGCACAAGAACATACCAGTACTGCGTGTCCTCATTTGAAGCGTGCGCCCGACCCGAACACGCAGTATAACCGTCTTGTAGTATATGGTTTCCCGGGCGGTACGGCCAGAAAACGCCCGCCATGGAGCGCTAACGAAAAGATTTCTCGGCGCGCGCGTCGCCCCTGGGAGGGCGACGCACACATAGCATCAGTATGTTGGGCCGACGCCGACCCCAGTCGCCTGCAGACGTGGCCGCGGGGGCGCTCTCACGAGGCTCAATGAGGCCCCAGATCCCCCGAGCTCTACCCCTACGATGAAAAGCGGAATCACACAACGAGACGTGGACAGCCAAACTGACGAGCCACGCCCGGCCGTGGCCACGAGGGCCTCCACGAACTCCGCGAACAACTCCCACACTTTCAGCCAGCGGCGCAGAGGGTCCCCAAGCGCGAACAGCAGATGGAGGTGTTAATTGCGATCGAGCATAGTCGAAGGCGCAGCGGAAGAAGCGTCAACCACTGACGTGCAGAGGAAAGCTCCCACACGCCGACGCCGAGCCTCGACGTTCGAACCTCGAACCTCCTGCCGTGGGCATCGAACCGGCACCCGTGCAAATCCGCCTACGTCGAGAGACAATCCGCAGGTCGGCGCGCGCTTGCGACTGCCACTGCGGAAGGCCGCGCTGGCAGCGAGGGCAGGGAGCCTGTGACGGGAAAAGTGCGAAGGGCGCCCGGGCCAAGATCGAAGAAAGACGCGGAGCGCGGAGTGGGGGGGTCGACGAATGTGTTTTTCTGGCTCGACGTGGTTTCCGTCAACTGCGCCTCGGGGAGGCCAACATCCTCCCGAACGGCCGCCAGGGGAGCAAGCCACGGCCCGGGACCCGCGGAGGCCCTCCTCCCACGCCTCCGACGTTCTGACAGCACCGTGCCCGCGACCCCCGACGGGGCTGTGACCGCGGCCGGTGGCCGCCGTTTCGGGGGCGGCCAAGAGGGGGGCGTCACAGAAGGGGGGGCGCAAATCATGGCCTGCGGCGCGTGCGCGGCCCAGGGAGGGGGCCAGGGACGCAGTGCAATAAGAAGAGGCGCCATGAAGTTTAGGGAGATATAATAGCCCCCGCCATGACATCCACCCCCCCCAATCCTCACCCCCCTCTTGGCCGCCCCCGACCGTCCGCGCGCGCGGTCCTCGGCCGCCTCCTCGACCGGGGCGGCGCCAACCTCGGGCTGGAGGCTCCGCAAGTAGAGCTCCGCCTGCCAGAACGCCCGGCTCGCGCCGCTGGGCCTCCCGCGGGTCCGTGGGCGGCCACGAAACCACGCGACGAGCCACGACGAGCGACCTCGGCGGCAGCGGCGGCGGTGGCGGCAACGACGAGCAACGAACAACGACGAGGAACGACGGTGGCGAGCGACTGTCGGCGACGGCGGAGACGGCGGCCGCCGCGAGGGCGACGAGCCCAGGGCGACGCTGGCGGCGGCGAGCGCTACATGCCCAAGCCTCCGGCGAATAGGAAAAATCGAAGCAGAGCGTGCCCTTTCCGCCGTTTTCGGCCGCTGGGGGGCCCTCGCCGGGCCCTGGCGGGCCTCCGGCTCGGCAGACTGGGACCGTCAGACAGAGGCCTGGGACGAGAAGCTGGCCCCTGGGAAGAGGGTCCACACTTACCACCACCACATTTGTTATTTTACAACCGTACTGTACTGTCAACAACACCACAACAACAACACTACTAACTACTACTACTACTACTACTACTACTACTACTAATACTACTACTACTACTACTACTACCACCACTACTACTACTAATACTACTCTAATACTACTACTACTACTACTACTACTACTACTACTACTACTACTACTACTACTACTACTACTACTACTACTATTACTACTACTACTACTACTACTACTACTACTACTACTACTACTACTACTACTACTGCTACTACTACTACTACTACTACTACTACTACTACTACTACTAACTACTACTACTACTACTACTACTACTACTACTACTACTACTACTACTACTACTACTACTACTACTACTACTACTACTACTACTACTACTACTACTACTACTACTACTACTACTACTACTACTACTACTACAAACTACTACTACTACTACTACTACTACTACTACTACTACTACTACTACTACTACTACTACTACTACTACTACTACTACTACTACTACTACTACTACTACTACTACTACTACTACTACTACTACTACTACTACTACTACTACTACTACTACTACGACTACTACGACTACCACGACTAGTACAACTACTACTACTACTACTAATACTACTACTACTACTACTACTACTACTACTACTACTACTACTACTACTACTACTACTACTACTACTACTACTACAAATAGCAATAATAATAATAATAATAATAATAATTTCACCATCACGCGCCACTCTCCCACATGTCACACGCATCCTTCTGGATACCACACCCCATCGCGGGGGATTGTTCTGGCACGCGGGGCCCGACATTCCCTCGCCCAGATCTCCCGCCCCAGAAACTACCTCTCCAGGAGAACTTCGACATCCACAGCTCGGACAGCACAACACCATCGCAATCGCCTTGCGCAAACTCCAGATCTCGGAGGAGGAGGAAGAGGACGAGGAGTGGAAGGGGAGATGAGGGAGAGGAAGAGGGAGAGGAGGAGAAGGAGGAGGAGAGGGAGGGCGTAGGAGGAGGAGGGTTCTTACTCCTCGTTCGAACTGCATCATCCTGCGGCCTCAGCGCGTGACCCTGAACGTTCACGCCCCCAGGCGCTGCCGCTCCCACGCTCGCATCCTCCACCTGCCCGCCCACGCCCTCTCAAGGAACCCCTGAACGCAATCCTTCGACCCTCGATCCTTGAAGTCCTTGGAAGTCATCCGTCCTCCTTCTTCTCCTCCTCCTCCTCCACATTATCTATGCTCTCCAAAAACGATAGTTATCAAAAAAATCAGGTTCGACAAGGACCCTTGGAAACCCCCCAGAGGCGATGCCGAAACGAGGGCCCCAGTCTTGAGTAAAAAATGAAGGAGTATCAAACGGGAGCGACGAGGGAGGACGGAAGGGGAAGGGGAAGGGAGGAGGAGGGAGACAGGAGGAGGGAGGAGACAAGGGGAACGAAAGGGGAAAGGAGGAGGGAGGATGAGGGAGGAGGAGGGACGAAAGAGGGACAGGAGAGGGAGGGGGGAAGAGGCAGAAGAGGAGGGGGTGGAGGGAGGAAGAGGGAGGAAGAGCGAGGGGAAAGGAGGGAGGAGGAGGAGGAGGAGGAGGAAAAAGGAAAAGGAGGAAAAGAGGGAGGAGGAGGAGGAGGGAAAGGAGGGGAGGGGGAGGAGAGACGAGGAGGAGGAGGTAGGTGGAGGGGTGAGGAAGAGGGAGGAGGAGGAGAAAGGGAGGAGATGGGGGAGGGAGGAGAGGAGGGAAAGAGGGTCGGAGGTGGTGGTAAGAGGGACGGGTGAGGGTGGTGGGAGGAGGCAGAAGAAGGAGGGGGTGGAGGGAGGATAGAGGGATGAAGAGGTGGAGGGAGAGGGGGGAGGAGGAGAGGAGGATGGAGGAGGAGGAGGAGGAGGAGGAGGGAGGAGGAGGAGGTAGGAGGTGGGAGGAAGGACGAGGAGGAGGAGGAGAGGTAAGAGGAGGAGGAGAAGGAGGAGGAGGAGGGACGAGGACGAGGAGGAGGAGGAGGAGAGAAAAAGGGCGCCTGTCCCGGGAAAACGGAAGGAAGTCTCGCGGGAGCGCTGGTTTTGTCGCGAAGGGGGCTGGATCTTGTCGGAGGCGGCAGTAGCAACCGCATTGATTAAAAACTGGGTGGTTGTCTAGAGCGGGAGTCGTTGCTGTTGCTGGGTGGGCGGGCCGGATGAGAGGAAAGAGTAGCGCGCTGTCCAAGTTAAAAACGGGGTGATGTTATCGAGCGGTGCGATGGTTTTGTTTGGGCGCGGCTGTCGGGCAGTGCGTGGCGCCAGCTACGGACCTTCTGAGTTTTATAATGGTGGTGGATGTCTCGAACGGGGAGCGTTGTTTTTGTTGTGGGGGCCGGGTTTCGTGGAGGAACCCCTAACAGATGTGGAGCGAGCCTATTTTCATGGAATATGCTGCACGGCGACTAGGCGAGAGCGCCAGGGCGCCTGTAAGGGGTCCAACAATAATTGCTCAGTATTTAACATTCAACAACAACAACAACAACAACAACAACAACAACAACAACAACAACAACAACAACAACAACAACAACAACAACAACAACAACAACAACAACAACCACCACAACCACAACAACAACAACAACAACAACAACAACAACAACAACAACAACTACTACAACAACAACAACAACAACAACAACAACAACAACAACAACAACAACAACAGCAGCAGCAGCAGCAGCAGCAACAACAACAACAACAACAACACTAATCATTTGTATGACTGTTCGCTCTTATCTGCTCGCGCGTACCTCACCACGTATATCCCCAACCCCCGATACCCACCCTCTTCGTCTTCGATCGTACCCCCTCTGGGGGGTACATCTTCCTGACCTGCCACGTGTATTGGGCGCAGCCCCTAAAACAGCAAGAGGAGTGAGAAAGGAGAGGGAGAGAGAGAATGAGAGGGAGCACACGGGGCTACTCTGGGGCCACGAAGGGCAGCGAGGGGGCCTCTGAAAGCACGAGCGACTGGGGGCCACGAAGAGCGTATATATGGGCCACAAAGGGCGGCGAGGGGCCGCAGAGGGCAGCATCGGGGCCACGCAAGGCAGCGACTGGGCCACAAGGGGAGGGGCCACGAAGGGCAGCAATGAGGCACAAAGGGCGCGAGCGAGCATGGGGTACGAAGGCATGACCCTGACGGGCGGGCCGAGCGGGCGGATCGATCGTGAGTTCTGCGTGATTAGCAAAGAAGTTTCCAGCGAGAGAGCGATTCCTAAGTAAAGTTGGGGAAATACCCAGCGAACGCGCGATTCCTGAATTGCAAGAGCGCGGCGCCTGAGTAAATTGCGAAGACGTCTTAGGCGGGAGCGCGATTCGTGAGTAAATCGCGAGGAAGTCTCAAGCGGGAGCGGGGGACCGGAATAAATTTCGAAGAAGTATCTAGCGGGAGCCGTTGTTGTTGTAAACGGGGGGGTCGGGGGCCCAGTTTGAGGAGGAGGACTTTCCCTGATAAAAAAGGTGCGGGCGCCGGGAGGGGCACTTCAATTGAAAAAATGCATTGTGCACCAGACAGGGGGATCAACAATAATTACTGCAGTAATGAGAGTTCAACAACAACAACAACAACAACAACAACAACAACAACAACAACAACAACAACAACCCTTCTACCCTCATGCGCGATGTTTCCACACGAAGCATGCATGCATCATGGTAACCATCCACATCATGGGGGACTCTTGTTCTATAGCGGGGTCCGTTACTCCCATTCCCAGATCTCCTGCCCAATGAGGTCTTGCGAACACCTCCTCCGAGGAATTTCTACATATCCCGCCTCGGAAACACATGCCCGCGCCTTGCTACGCCGATGCGAGACCGTCAGTCGAACCCCAGCGAAGGGTAAAGCACAAGGAAGTATCGAACGACAGGGTTGCCTTGGTGGGGATGGGGGCTGTCGGCGGTGAGGCAAGAACCTAGCCCTGAATAAAAAAGGAGGAAGTCTCGAGCAAGGCTGCTGCTGTTGCTGGGAGCGGCGCCAATGCTGAAGAGAGTAGGGCGCCAGTCCAGCGTAAAAAAAACGAAGTCTCGAGCGGGAACGCTGGTTTTGTTGGGACGGCGGCTTTCGGCGGCGAGGAGGAACACCGCCTTGAGTAAGAAGGGAGAAAGCATCGAGCAGGAGCTGTGGTTTTGTCCGGA